GCAAAAACTGTTTATTCTACAGATTTCAAATATGCTTTTAAATGATGATTGAATATTTCCTTTTTTTAATTATTTTTATTATTATTTTTCAATCTCAATCAACTTTTATAACTTTATGCCAGCACGATACAAATACATGTGTCTTTATTTTTTTTATTATTTTCATTATTATTTTTCAATCTCAATCAACTTCTATAACCTTATGCCAGCAGGATACAAATACATGTATGTCTTTATTATTGTATCAACTCTTGTCTTTTCCATGTAACCATGTCTTCATAGTTTGAATTATCCCTTCATCTTCTCAATCTTTCGCAGAGATTTAATTAATTAAATACACTTCACACGAAATAAAGTTTGCTGGAAGATATACAGCAAACGATAACTGTAAAAACATGATTACGTGGAAAGAACAAGAGTTGGTACAGTAAAGGCAAGTAAGTAAGTACATGTAATGTATCGTATTGGCATAACGCTATATCCGCGGAGCAGATAATGTGGCTGTAGAGGTAGTCTGCAGTGCAGCTAATGTGGACGTAGATGTTGATTGAGATAATTGTCTAATATAAAATAGAATTTAAAAATTTAGTTTAAAAAGCTGTTGCATATATAAATAAAGTTTATTTTTTCTAAATTTGGAATATGTTTAATTAATTAATTTTTTAAGTCTATGTTTAATAAATTTTTTAAGTCTGTATTCAATAATTTTATTCATTTGATAAATACATGTATGTCTTTATTTTGATATGTTTAATATAATTAGAAATTCATTATTAATTAGATATGTAAACTATAAATTCATATATAATATTTGAAAATATATGTGAATATTTAAATTTTTATCTTCTCCTTCCTCTCCTTCAATCTCTTTAATATCAATATGTGTATGTGTGTACACGCGCGCACATTTGTACGTATTTATTTAATTATTGGATAGTTGAGAGTACTTAATTGATAAAAAATTATGACAATAATAATCCTTGTTTTTTTTTCTTATTATTTACTCAGATTTTTTTGTCTATCTTATAAGATAAACACTTTAGAGATTGAATATTTCAAGTAAACTAATTGTAAGTAAATTTCACATTAATGCATATAGATGTTTAATCATGAATGTACTAAATAAGTACACAAGACGAACAGTGAGTGAGTGAGTGAGAATGAGAGAGTGTGTGTGTGTGTGCGTGTGTGTGTGAGAAGAGAGAGAGAGAGAGAGAGAGAGAGAGAGAGAGAGAGAGAGAGAGAGAGAGAGAGTTAGCCAACATAACCCCGCACGCTGCCGATATGGCGGAGCGCCACTATCGCCATCTGTTGTAAAACGTGCGAGATGGACAAAATTACCACTACATGCATCTTGCATGTGTTGTGTACGTGTGATATATGTGTGCGCATGTGTTGTATACGTGTGAATACGTGTAGCACGATACTACTATGTATGCGTGGTCGATGATGATAATGATGATGATAATGATGATAATGATGATGATAATGATGATAATGATGATGATAATGATGACGGGGACGTTTCTTAATAGAAATTTTTCATATTTCGACTTTGCATTTATATATCTCTGCTTACAAATCACGTAGAGCAGAAATAAAGACACTTTTATTATATAATTCGAACTCAATCTATCGATTAAGTCTAGTATAAACTCGATTGCTTCAGCCATTATTGAGGATTCGAAATATTATAAAGACTCAAATGTCCGACTCGCGTTAAGATACACGGTGTCTCCGCTACGCCCTTAACTGGTCGCGAGACACTACCGTGTCTCTTGATATTTATCCAGTCAAATATCACCCATTGAATTGACATATAATCAACGTCGAAATTATCGAAATTACATGTACTTCGATGTAATTGTGATGATTTCGACGTCGATTATATGTCAATTCGATGGATGATTTCTGACTGGGTAAATATTACAATACATGCAATTAATAATTCAGCTGTGATTATATTACTCGGACAATATATACTATTAGACAAGGAGTGTTATAAAAAAAATTAAACAAGTAATCTGTAATCTTTAATTATTTTTATTTGACAGTTACACATACATACACAGTAAATATTATTTATATATATTGTAAATGTTAAATTTGATTAAATATTACTATACATGCAATCAATCGCTCCGAAACGCAAATGTCTGACGCTGTAAACTCGAAAAGAGAATGATAAATTTGACTTACACACTTTTCTGTATAATAAAAAACGTATAGAGTCCTCAATTCGCATATAATTGTAAAGAATTCCGTGTCGAATATAATGATGAATATACTAATTCGCATGAATGTTATTAGGATTATCGACCTTAAAGCTCGTCGCCGTGCGCTTTTCCTCCTGACTTCCCATGGGCTGTAGATGCGTATAAGACGCATTAATTCAACGGAGATTCAAGGAGAGTAATCAAAAAAATTTAGCAAGTATAATTTGTAATCTGTAATAATTTTACTTGACAGTCACGCAAACGCACGCACGCACGCACGCACG